CCTAATAGCGATGGCCTCCACACTAGTAACGATGGCCTCCAACCGAATAGGTCCTCCTACCTAGTAGTGTTGGCCTCAAACTCACAAGCGATGGTTTTGACCCTAGTAGCGATGGCCTCCAACCCAATATAGCGATGGCCTCCACACTAGTAATGATGGCCTGCAACCGAATAGCGATGTCCTCCTACCTAGTAGCAATGGCTCATGAAAGAGGAGGAGTGACGGAGCAAGAAAACATATTGATGCGAAAGAAAGGAGGCAAGTAATCGACCAGGTTTTTGATAGCTCAACCTCACACGCCCACTTGTACCACAAGGTGATAACACCGTCTAAACACGGACGCGGAACAGAGAGAATTCGAGAGACCACAGGTTGAGACAACTCACCATCATATTCTTTGTAGCCAGTTCTTTTCTTCCCCACCTCACCCTACGAGATTGAGGCACTGAATCCAGGTAGTTGGATGCAAAGTCACCTGGACAGGGGTCCAACCGAAGGTCAGTGGCCAGTGGCTGCCAGTGTCCTGACAGCAGACCCTGCTATTGCAAAGTGTCGTCAAGCCACCTGCTCTCACTCCAAGCATTGCCTGCTAAAGCAATTGGCAATTGTTTCCTATTTACGAGACATCCAGGTCTAGTGAATGCAGGAGGCTCTTGCATGGAGGAGACTGGCGTTGTACCCCACTGCACCTTTCTATTGACTACTTCACGAGCATCGAATCGAATAAGATTTACGCAGATCCTCGCGTCTCCTCGAAGAATGCCAACCTTCAGACATCTCACTCCCTGCAGCCCAGCATGGAGAGTCAGAAACTCTGACAGGATGATGTGGTTTTGGAGTGTGTGCTACTGATCGGCAACCTTGCGAGCAGTCGCGCAGACCCGCCTGGCTTAGCGACCTGTGTCGTGAGATAGACATGTCGAGGGAGACGGAGTTCCAAATGTACATTCCAAGCAAAGATGACTCCGGGGCTGAAATTACACAGGGCTCTCTCTCTCTCTCTCGCTCGTGTTCTTGACCTGACCCCATCACATACAAATCTTTTTCCAGATACGTAGGTGATGTTGATCAGGAAAACATCTTGAATTCCTCCAAATGTTCTGTTCCTGTTCTCCGAGCCGTTTGTCCGGAGCTTCGCCCGGGACCGTGTCAGCCGTGCATCCGTGGCATCGCCAGGATTCGGTGCAGCACGTCGCCGAGTCACGTTTGCCGACGATGATGCAGGACCATGTCGAGAGAGGTTTGAGGTCTAGTAACAAGTGCCTTACCACTACAGTAGATGGACCAAAGATTCAACCCCCTGAACCAATAACTGTCATCAGCCCCTAGCCCCCAAAGGTCAATGCTGAGCACGACTTGATTGAATTTGTGTTTGCAGGGTTTGATTTGTTTCGCCCATTCGCCGAAACACTCTTGCAAGATCTCTAACACTGAGCTTTGGGGTGGAAGGGGTCCACGTGGTTTGAAGGGTCTACGGTGCTGGGTGCTGGGTGTGGACGGCGACCTGAGACCTACAGACGCACATGCGTGTGTTGTTTTCGGGCATTGTCCTTGGAGCGAATTTGGGACGCTCGTGTGCGATGAACTTGGACGAAGAGCCGTCGCTGCTCAAATGCCAGCAAGGCGTTGAAAGCCGTTAAGGCTTTCCAGTCTGGTACCAGCAACTCTTTCGCATGGATGGCTCCAAGAGCAGCTATCTCTGCCGCCCACGCGTCGGCCTTTGCAAGAAATAGATCAGCCAAAGGAGCTGGAACAAACACGTCTTTGCCTTTCACCATTCCCTCACATACGAGGCTTGCATCAAACCCCTGGCCGTAAAGGCTCCACAGAAGGCACGGCAGCGCGCCCCAATAACTTGGGCTCTTCCAACAGGCGTATTTCACACTGCTGGTAAAATCCCACACCAACCCTCTGGGAATTACAGATTTGTCGCCCACATTCGTTTCAACTTGACAAGTGTAGCCGACCAATCCTGTATGTTGATGTGGCCACACCTTCGTACCCTGCCATGCGAGGAAGCTTTTCGCATGCTAACCATCAAGGACCTGCCTCAGGAAATCCTAAAGCAAAGGCGTTGCTGTCTTGGATGAGCCGGCTTCAAACGACAAGGGCAACATTCAGCGGCTCAACTTCTTGGCGCATGGCCCAGGCGGCTGTGGCAAATCGGTAGTGACCCGCTGTGGCCTTTTCAACCAGGTTGTGCGTCCCAGCTTTTTTCTGAGGCATGGCCACACGCGCCGTCCGGAGGACTTGAGCAGCGTCGAAGGCAGCAGCGCCGCCCCGGATCCAGCAGCGCACACCGTGCGCAAGGTATCGTGTGTTTTAGGTGTTGTATTGTGGCCACGCATTTGAACTGCCAGAGTCGACTTTGCATATGTCTGATGTCTTCCCCATCAACACCAGGTCGAGGAAGCCACAAACCTTCAGCCTTCGCTGTGAGAACGCAACCATGGTGCCACTCGAAGTCAATTGTTGCCATCGTGTCCATACTCGACAAGCCGGAAATCATCCCAGAAAAGGGACCGCTTCTCCTTGAGGATGTTGCGCAACGCAAAGGACGAATCAAGGGCAGGTTTGTGGCTTTGGCAAAGCCAAGCAAGTCATGAAACGGCAAAGCCAATGTGGACTTTCCTGAGTTTGTTCGATCCACGATCATCGGAGCCCTTGTGGTCTTGGAAGGGCTAGCAATCAGGATGTTCCGCAAGGCTGCTGCGAGGTCTTTCTGCAACAGAGAGAAGCGGCGTTTGCGCGCAAGAACGTACCAGCTGCGTGGGCGTAGGTGCAGCCAGTATCACGCGGACATTCAGCAGCAGCTGCTTGACAGACCAAGGCCCACGCCGTCCGACTCTCTTTCTGTGGTTGCTGCCTGGCTTGCCCCCACGCGCGCGCCTCTGCTATGACAAGGGCGAACCTCTGCCACTGATGCAGCAGCAGCGCGACCCACCCCACGAAAACCATGGAAAGCCGAGGAGCTTGCCCCCCACAGCCTTCGTGGAGCAGCCTGCAGGCGCACACAGTCTGTTTTTTCAGGCTGGCGTCGCCAACGACCTAACGCTCACAGAGAGGTTCATGGCTTGCGGTTTCTGTCTTTTGACGCGAGCGGAAGTGGAAGAAAAACATCACTACAAAGTTCAGGGCGCCAGACCACCCTCAGGAAAGAAGCCGCCTCGACACTCCAGAAGAAGCTGCGCACGCCCAGCCATGGAACGGACAATGTTGGTGATGCGGTCCCCCGACAGACTGCAGCCTGTTTGATTGTGTCGGCGCAGCTTTTCGTTTGGTCTTTGGCTACTTTGCAGTCTTCCGCATTTTCTGCTTCATTGCTGCCCAAAGGCTAAAGTCTAGCAGGTTGAGGTCTGGTGATCTCTTGGGCAGGTCGAGGTTGCAATGCTAGCAGCAGCCTTGGCTGCCATGCCCTTGCTCCTCTTGTGTTGTAGCCGGAGGGGTCGTTGTCTTCCAGGACGTGCCGTCATCATAGTCGGGGAATTTAATGTAGATGAGTGCTCGTTCCCATCACTTTTGGCTACAATATGAAGCTTTTGGACGCCAATGTGACCCATGTGTACCTGCCGAATGACTGCTGGACCTTCCATTCGCCTTCAATGCTGGGGCAAGTGCAATCAGTCTTCATTAGTTTGTATGTGCGAATGCCACAGCGGCCACAGCGTTTGTCAGCCCATATCGAAGGTACCGCGGAAATTTCCAAGAAGGTGGTTTCGTTGGTCTGGGCGCGGCAAAGGTCCAGCATACGTCTCCGCTGCGGCCTTTCCGTTCCACTTCCTGGGGACCACGCGCCACATCAACACCTTTCCATTACCAATGGTGCAGGTGACTGTCGCAGACAAGGCCCCGGTGTTTTGGTGAAGATTGATTCGGCTCCTTGTGACCGGTAGGCCCCACACACCTGCCCACGGGCGGTGTAGTCCCGAGCTTGCCCTGCACGGTAAACGTGAAACCTGGTGCGTGTGTGGGCCAGTCACCTGTCGGATGGCCTTGGTTCCAAACCCCAATCGCTTCGCGCGGGACCCTACCATTTTCGGAAGTCAAGAGGCGCGCAGCGTCAACCAGGGGCAAGGTGCAGGCTGTCTATCTGAGTACTCAGGCGCAGGTTGGGAAGTGACAACGTGACTCTTTCTGTCTGGCAGGTGCGTGCTTCTGCAAGCGCACTGCGCAGCGCCGGGCCTCATCTGTAACCGCCGGCGCCCTGGCGGAGTAATGCGCTTTGGAGCCTTGAAGCAGACAGTGAAAGCATTCATGGCTTTTGTAGCTGACAAGACCAAACCAAGAGTGCTACAGAGGAATACGTTGGACGTATTTGGACACGACGCTTGTTTGCAAAAACATTTGCAGATGCAGATGCGACGCCTGGAGACAGTAGATTCAGTAGATGGACAAGACGTTCAGCGCAGGATGACTACAGATGAAGATGGTAGATTTGGTGCTTGCGAAGACAGGACCAGGTGAACCCACGGACACCATTGTGATTGAAGCCTTGCAGCAGAGACCGAGAGGTTTCTCTGCAATGTGCAGTCTTCAGTCTTAAGAATTCCCGTTGTACCACAGAAGGTGAAGACAAAGAGTGCTACGGATCAAGATGTTGGACTTGATGCTTACAAGCCAAAAATGCGCTAACGTCACGCCTTTAGACAGTAGCTGGACCAAATATTCAAGCCCCTGAACCAATAACCGTCATCAGCCCCTAACCCCCAAAGGTCAATGCTGAACACGACTTGATTGAATTTGTGTTTCCAGGAGTTGATTTGTTTCGCCCGTGCGCCGAAACACTCTTGCAAGATCTCTAACATTGAGCTTCGGGGTGGAAGGGCCCACCTGTTTTGAAGGGTTTGAATATTTCGTCCATCCACGGTAGTAACAAGAAATTACTAACAAGTGCACAGCTACAAGTAGCTAGGAGCTACTAGTCTGAGAGGGGCGAGACTTTGACCCACTTTTTCAGGGGCTCTGGTAAGCGACGGTATTTCCATAAGTGATTGTTTTGCCATGATGGATTTTAATAGGGCAATGGGTCGTACAGCGTTCCAATGAATCCCCTCCCTAACCCACGCTGACGAATCCCTGGACCGTCCTCGCTGAGAACCCATGCTAGGACTTGCTGGTTGAAAAGCGGGAAGACGAGGAGACGAAATGAGACGAAGAACCGCTGCGTGGAGAAATGGTCTTAAAAAAACGATAGGTTCCACTTGAGATAAATGGAACATGTTCGTTTGCTAGAGACTTGGTTCAGCTGGTGTTTCCTTCCAGGTTGCTTGTAGAGACTCTTATCACTACATACTGTGCCATCAGAACACATCAGAACACTTTCTTCATGAGGAGATTGTTGTGCAGCTTCTTTTCGCCTTCCAGTGCTTGGTCTCCCATGATGAGGCACAGTCTCCGGTCCCCTTTTGTGTATGCCGGTTTTTGGTTGCATTGGCACTGTAGGAAGACTCATACTCCACCAAACACGGAATATGGGAAAAGGGTGCGTTGTTTCCCTTCGTCCGCTTCACTTCGCAAATTTGGGCCTTTCTTGAATCATGATCAAATTGCCACCAATCCTTGCTCGTGTTGGAAACACTGATGAAATCACATCGAAAAGAGCGCGCAAGAGAACTGCAAAAGAGAGTAGGTCGGTGCAACGCCACTAAGCTTGGAAGAAACCCCTTCTTCAATCATTCTGTTAAATTGAACAAACGGACTGACGTGTCCAGGTGCGGGAGTTTGTTCTCCAAGAGACGGAACTTGCACCAGCCATCATGAGGCACCTACGTTACTGACCTTTTGGCTTGAGCTTGGATAGGGCTGTGATCATGTGTGGGAGTTGTTTGTGGCACATTCAGAATAACATATGTTTTCTCAACAGGATGCACGAAGGAACACTTACAGAAGACAGTGTGCACATGATGCTCAGGTTTGCCCGGGCGCGGAATCCTCTCGTCTTGGAGTATACCACTGCATTGTTACAGGCGAATGGTCGGTGGACTTGCAGCTGAGAGTACCCTCCGGTACCTTCACTTGTGTGATTAAGGATCAGGATGTTGCTTTGTTTCACCAAAAGGAAGGCGTGTCACAAGTATTGATCGTGCCCCGGCTGGATGGAGCCTGCGAGTGAGGTGATCGCTTTGAGCATTCTTTCCATCCAGAATAGCGTGACTTCCTCCACCAGGGTTGCTGCGAATCTTTTTAGCTGTTTGGTCAAAGAACCAAATACCCCAAAGACTTTCATGGAATTGGAGTATTGAGACATCAGGAATAACATGCGTTAAGTTTTATGTGAAGCAACGTTTCATTCCAATTCAACATGGTGGTTGACAGAAAGTATAAAGTTCCTTCTTCACCTGCGGCGCTACGGCTACAACCAAGGCCCGCCAAGGCCCACCTCAAGCCACCGCCTCGTCGTTGCTCACTCGTCTCGTTTGCAGATCGTTGCTGTGGCTAGCGACAACCAGACCACAGAGGTGCGGACCGTGGGCGGCCCGTAACATTAATTGCAGGACTAATCGACTTCACATAGTGCAAGGGTCCACAAACCCAGACCAATTGATTTGTTGTCCCACTTTGTACTTGTGGCTAGAAACAATGGATGCAGAGGGCATCCAAAAGTCTTTCAGGCAGGGGGTTGTGCCCGTGCTTTTCTTTCTTTTTGATGTTTGCTTGTGTTGTTTACACGTATCATAGGCCCAAAGGTACAAACGGTACAGTTCGGGGCATTGTTGCTCAGCTGTCATGCAGATATATTGTACACTATATTGTACTACAGATGGTCAGGAGAAACTTCAACCTGCAAGAATTGAAGTCATGAAACAGTCACAAAAGAATAGATGACCCAACTCCGATGGGCTCGATGTGGCCTTACTCAACCCTTTGAGTCCGTATGATGATCTTTTTGTGGCACCTGAGAAGTATGCCTCAATGAGCGACGCCGACTAGAGTTCGATCTGCCAGGAGGGAGTGCCTGACTGGGTGGCCCAAATCAAGGCACAGAGTTGTTAACTTGGCTGCCTTAATCTTGTCTTCATTGCTGGATTTGGAGACTAGCCTGTGCAATAGGTGCCAGGATTGAAAGGTTAGGACACGAGGTTGCTGTGCACATTGACAAGATTGAGCATCGTATAATTCTATTCTTGTCCTGTTCGCCAGGGTTTCCGCTTTGAACAGCACAATCCAGAGTGGTGTAGATATGTCCAGTCCCAAGATCAGTCCTTGGCAAAGAGTTAAGTAGTCTGAAGATCCGTTTTGTAGCAGAATGAAACATATTTGCAAACACCTAGGAACCAAATCAAACGTGCGGGGGGTTCTTCAGCGAAGCTCCCCCTGCCCTCAGGCAGGCAAATAGCTACCTACTTGCCCCTGTTACTACACACGCAACCTTCTTAAGCTCTCCCAGCGGCCTACCCCCCCAATATGCAACTGCTCTTAAGGTGAACAGAGAGCTTAGTGGTGGCACGGGCATGTCCCCTGGCGCCTATGGAGGGTACTATGACGACCAGGAGGCCGGAAAATCAAAGCAAAAGTTACATACATACAGATATTAAAGACAGATACACTTCCCAAAGTCATACCATGAATTATAGATATAGCATGATAGATCTGGAGTTTCATAGATACATGATACATAGGACACAGGTTTCCAAATGCTATACCATATATATATATACACACATACAATATGTATTAGTTGTATATATATATATATAGGACACCCAAGGGTCTCAAGCATGGCTGGTCACAATCTGCAGCGTCAACGATGGCAGGGAAATCCTCGTGATGATGAGGAAGAGTTTGCTTTCCACTGGAGCGCCCGGCACGGTTACTGACTCGTTTACAGGTTTCCCTCTCTTCGATCTGAAGAGCTACAAAAGCAATTGCATTGCTGTTGGAGGCCATCAGTTAAGTTTCCCTAAAAAGATCTAGAAACCACATGAATAGTGCGAGCGCTTCTTCAAGGAAGCTCCCTCCCGCCCTCAGGTGGGGGAAATTCCTTGAAGACGTGTGAGCTATCCTGCATCCATGCTAGTAGCTTAAGTAAGGTACTAGCTCCTCTCAGAGGTCGGCACATTTGCTGTCGCCAGGGCGGGCATGGATGCAGCTGATCCACGAGACCTGGCGAAGCGCGATTGGTCCAACCAGGTGGCGGACGGCAGTGGACGGCTGGCAAAAGGGAAAGATCGGGGTTCGTGGTGGGAGAGGCAGAAGAGGCCAGACATACACCAACCTAAGAGCAATTAAGAGCAATGGCCCCCAACAGGACACTTTTGTTACGCTGAACTTGGGAAAGATGTTTTTATGCAAAGATTGAATTCCGAATCGTCCAAGCTGCAGGGCTTCGGAAAATCTCAGAGCAGATGGGGGTGAGGCAGAGCAGGGATGCTTTGTACAGACAAGCATCAAGATACCTTTACCATTTCTGTGTGCAATATGTGTTTATGGTTTCACACATCTGATTTGGCCGAAATGGGTCCTGCATGCTTTCAAAAAGAGCGAGGAGCGCTGGGTTGTTCACGGGATAAGGCTGAACTCATATGGCCTTTGCAACCAACCCGTTTTGGCCAATGCCCCAATGTACTCCGGACCCTGCGTCGCCCTGCGTCACCCTGCGTCGCCCTGCGTCACCCTTATGCTTCACAACAAATGCCGCCGCACCTCAATGTTCACACCTAGGGTTGGGTGGACCGACCCCAAAAGGTTAGGAGGCGTACCAGCCTGCAAGCTTCAGGATGCTTTTGCCCAGCTCTGGACAGCTGCACAAGTTGGAAAGAGAACTCCAGGGCAGTCCATCAGCTTCTTGTGCACGCAAACCTTAGCCACAAGACAATTTCCAGTTGCCAAGCAAAACTACCTTCATCAAGCCAATCCCCATTCTCGACTTTTAATGCCTGTCTGCCTCCGCTTTTGCTCCTGCCTGCCCCCGATTTTGCTGTGTCCCACAACGACGATCCTACGAAGAGTCCCGAGCCTTCTCACCCTTTACAACCTCTGCTTTTGTTCTTTAAGCCTCCAAACTCTCGGCTTGATTTCATTTGTTGATCTTTTTACTTTAGCCATTTTGAGGTGGCGTAGACTGGTGGTAACCCTGCGGCTCGTGGTTCAGTTTTTCGGGCGGCTGCTGCAGTGAGTCCTCCCAGTGGTCAGTTGCAGAGGTCAGTTGGAGAGTATGCGGCAGACTGCTAAAGGACCCGCCACCTTGCATGTGATGTGATGCTTTGGGCCACCTTTCTATCGTCACCCCTCCTTCACGATTGATCCTTTCGAGGCCTTTGTATTCGTGTCATTGCAAAGACGGAGTCAGCCTTTCGTGACCAAAGGCCTCCCCTGCGGTCTACGCCGCTCTTGCTTGGGAGTTCCTGGTGTGAGCCTTCAAGGAATTCTGTCACTGCCATCATCGGATCAGCGAATCAGGTCTTCCCCGACGTAATTACAGAGGTGCCACAGCACATGCAATGCAATTGCGGCTGACGAACATCCTATCCTCGACGTGTTTTTTTGATTATATAATAGAGAGCAAGTCCGATTTGGCTGCTCTGATAGATGAGTGAACACACACACACACTTGAGATGCTGGGGTGTAAAATTGTCTGTTCTCACCTGCTGCTTTGCTTTTCTTTGCAAATTCCTAGCAGGACACATTCCCGAAACTGCTGTCCTTCTCCAAGGCTCTAACTCTAACCTGGCACTTGCCACATACGCCGAAGCGTGCGAGTTGCAAGTCTGGATGTGTTTGGAAGAGGTCCGCAAAGCCACTGGGACAAGTCAGCGGCACAAGCTGGCACGACATGTTGACTCGTGTCTGTATTGTTGGACTCGGTGGACTTGGCGACCTAGTAGCGCCTCCAACCTAATAGCAATGGTCGCTTCAGCAACGAGTGTGACGCTTCTTCCTCAATTTGGTTAACAAGCTTGCCTGTTTGTTTGCGAGCATGCAGCACCCATCGGCAACGGGTGCAGAGGTGCGAAGAGTCCGCGTGTCTGCGTGTAGAAACGTTGTACTACTTGACTACTCGCCAACAACGCACAACTTCCCGGTAAGACATTGGCATCCCCGCTAGACTTTCACAAGACAAATCATACCTGCACGGTACGCAAAGAATCCAATCGCATGGAGCTTTAGCGTTGCCCCAGGACGCGCACCACAGTGAGAGCAATCCGAAGTGGTGGATTTGCCAAGAGAGGGCTGCATTTCAGCTCCCTTTTGTTTAGCGGGCTATGCTTTCGGACGGCTGGTAAGGGACCTGCCAGGATCTCGAAAACCGAGGTCGTACGCTCATAGAGCCCCAGGTACCAGTTAGAAAGTGCTTTGACCAGTGGGTGCAACGTGGTGGGGGCAACAGTCTATCCCAAGTGAGTGTTCAAGCCTATGTTCATTTTGTGTGTGTGGTTTGTACCCAATGTAAGCCACTGTAGATGTATGTATGGTCAGAATTACTGTATCCTGAAGTTGTGTTTATGTACAGCACGTGTGTGTGTGCGCGCGTGTGAGGTGCCCCATCAGCAGCTTCCCTCCTGGTATATAGGCGTTTTTGTACAGGTTGTTTTTTCCCTTTGCTTTGCCAAGTTGCGTCCCTCTCGGAAGACACGTCTGACGAATGACAGTTATCAGCACTGACTTCATGGGCGGATCGAGTAGAGAAATCTCATGTTCTTGCCCTCAAACATGTCATCGAACACCGGTCGCCAACTTGCAAATCTGGTTGATCTTTGACGTGTGGCAGCCACTGTATTTTCACAACCTGTCACCGGCTGCACCATTTCCACACATCAGGCAGGTACTATGTTGAACTACAAAGGTGTTATCCTAGGAATGAACGCGGAATTTTGGTCGGGTCACTGGGGGAAGGGCCCCCCACCGTGCAGCACGGATTCCTGACTCCAACGGTTTCGCATGGCAGCTACAAAACCAAACCAGAAGCGCAAACATCTTTTTCCTGGACAGGCAGGCATTTGGCAAATGCCGTCCCTTTACGCACATTGCCGCTTGCATCTGTCAATGTGGCCAGCGATTTCAGCATATTTACGTGCCACACATGCCCGGCAACTGCAAGAAGTCAAGTTGGTAGACTCATGTCATTGTTGTCATTGTTGAACACTAAACGGCTGGGCCTCTTTAGATATGGCCCCACCCTTTGCTTTGTGTGTAGACGCTGGAGGCAGTCCACGCAGTCCCACGCTGTTCGACACTTATTGCAAATGTGTTGCGTCAATGTCAAAGCAAAAACTAGGCATGAGGCAGCAGCGCAGAAAAACAAGTCAAAACGGGTTGCTTTCCCTCGAAGGGGCTGAAAGCACGGCCCCCTAAAGAAAAGGGAACTGAAATGGCGACTGTACAAATCAATTTGCCAAATAATGCGCTGTAAAAAGTTGCGCCGCTACATTCAGGCAAATGCATGTACATGTCAATGTACATGTATATGTCCGTATTCACACATTTGTGCATGCACGCATGCACACACGTACATACGCTATTGTCTTCACAGGACATAAAATGTGAGTGAGCGCACGCATGCCTGTACTGCACCTCTCTCTTTTTCTTTCTGTTTTTTGCTCCCCTGCCTGGTTGGCAGGCAACATCGGGCCTGTTTGCCTCCCCCTGCCAAGTCTTCCACGAAGGGGCGGGCCGGCACAGCAGAGCAAACATGCACACAAGAAACAGGGAAGCAGCGGACAGACAAACAAACATCCAGACAAACAAACAGCCAGCCAGACAAACGAAGAAACAAACAGCTAGCCACGCAGACAGACAAACAGAGGACGACGGACACAGAGGCAGGAGGACAGACATACCGGCACACAAAAACACGCAAACACACGCACACAAAAAAAATAGAAATCACAAAAACGCCTCCCAGTTGGCAACCTTTTTGGCCTCCGCACACTAAGCAAAATTCAAAAGACGTAAAACTCCCGTTTTCGCCAGCCGAATATCTTGCCGGTTTGTTTCGTTGTCAATTTTCTTTCCTGAATTCAGCGCCGCCAGTGAAGAAGAACAAGGATGTTGTCCAGGGTACTCGAATGGCCGATGTCTCCCCCGATTGATAGAAAAAACATTTGTCAATCACCACTGCGTGTGGTTCATCACCAAGCCACTGCTTTGCTTTCCGCGACGAGCACACTCCCAAAACATTCCACGACCGACGTAGACTCCGTAGATGGCGCCGTCCAACAGCGAAGTCTTCCACTCCGAATGAAGTCAAGAAACTTGGCAAAAGATGGTGGCCGGGCATCGTGGAAACATTGGCGAAACGACCGCCACCACCGGGGCTGAGAATGAGGCCAACGCCCACGGAAACACGTCGACGCGCAGCGCATCACAAAATAGAAAGTGCCCGCCAAAACTTGAGGCCGATGATGATCAAATTGTTAAGCAACGGCCAGGTTTTGTGGAAGGTCCGACGTCCTAGCCACAAAACAAACACGCCAACCAGTGTGAGGAGGAGAAGGGTGGAGTCGGGAAGGCCGGAGAAAGAGTAAGAACCCCCCACTAGCCCACAGCCCACGTCAAATATAAATACCTCCGAGGCACCCCACCAACTCGTCCACTGTCTCGTCACTCTGCGGGCGCGACTTGTTCCCCCTGCGCTTCGGCGTGCTGCCCCCACAGGCTGGCTTCGAAACTGGTGGGGATTTTCGGCCGTCGCACTGCAACGCGCGGTGTGCTCCAGCCTGTTGGGAGATGATGGGGGTGTTTCTCAGGTCTTCCAGGCCTTGAGGCCCGTCAGCGTCCCTCGCATCAATCCTGTTTGACCCACATGGGCCCACCTGGATCCCTTGTTTGCCTGGGTGGTTGACGAGGGTAATTGAAAGATAATTATTTCCTCAGATAGCGACAGCTATGGGGTTCAAATAACAATGAGCTGGCTGTGCGCGCTTTCGAAAATTTTCGAGACAGGGTGCCGGTGGCGACCAACTGCCGCTTTTGACAATGAAGGGTGGCCAACATACCAGCCGCCGCTTCTGACAGCGAAGGGTGGCAAGCCGCCTGTTGTAGCAGTGGCGGGCGACCAACCGCCGCTTCTGACAGTGAAGTGCCAGCAGTCATGGGCCGCATAGATCTACACACGCAACATCATACGGAGTTGTCGCTTGAGCGTTCTTTGTCTATTAGCGCCGTGGGGCATTTACACTCTTCAGGTTCTGTTTTGGCCGGTTGCTGTGTCAATGGCTGTGCTGTTTGCGCATGGCTTTGTATGCATGAAACTATATGTGCAACGTCAGGCTTTCAACCGACCATTGTTTCGGCATGCAGTAAACTCAAATAGTGGTGCCGGATGCTGCTTGGCCTTGGGCGACGGAAACTTACGGGCTTGCTGTTGGTGCGCCTACTTCTGTGCGCACAAACTTATACGCACAAAATCATACATTGTTATCGTTTCACAGATCGTTGCCTCAAGCATGTTACAAAGCCAATAGTGGCTTTGGATACCGCTTGGCTTTTGGGCCAGTGAGACTTATGGGCTTTGCTGTTTGCGCGCGTATGTTTCTGTGCGCAATCAAGCTTACGTTTCTTTTCCCCAAACAGTTTGCTGTTGGGGTTCTATCTTAAAGAAAACTGGCCACACTGACTGGCGGTGCCCCTGAACTGTGTGGCCGGGCTTTGTGGCCGCGCTGTGTGGCCGGGTGTTGTCCTCCTTTTGTCCCCTGGCCGCGCTGACCAGCCCTGGACACACTGACTGGCCGCGCCCCCGGGCTTTGTGGCCGGGTCTTGTCCTCGTTTTGTGTTCTGTTGTCCTGCTCTTCTGTTGTTTTCCCTTGTGGCCGACCAGTTTGCGATGTCGATGCCGACAAAGATCAATGAAAAAGCCATTGGTTCGGATGGTGGGGTGTGCCACGAAATCATGTTTGTCGTTTTGAAACTGTTGGGGTCTATGCTAATACATGTTTCTATATAGCGGTGGCAATGTGGATCTCACTCCAATAAAGAATGAGTTCGCGCTTTCGTGAGGGTGTCGGTGCTGGTGATGGTGTTGTGGTCCTGGGTGCCAGAGTGGCCGCGCACGTTTAGCAGGTGCCGTAAGCTGCATGTACATTGCACATTCTTGTGTCGCATGTCAACAGGTTGTGGGATTCTGCCTAGCTATCTGGGTCTATGCTGGAAATTTTTTGTAAGGTAATTTTGGCCACAAAAGGAGGCAATAAGACCCGCGCCTCCCAGAAGCGGTGCCCGAATGGACGGGGTAACCATTGGAATAAGGCATTAAAGTTGTCACACCCAAGGCATGCTGATTTGCAGGTCCGTGATACTGTAGACAAATGTCATCATTTCCAGCCACTGAAGGTGGCTTTGAACTCGGCAGCCTGCATCTTGTATCACTTATAAAAATTTGCGTCTTGTAGAAAAATTGTGCCCACGGGGCCCACACAACAGGCACGGGATGTAGGGGGAAGGGTGGGGGAAGAATGACGCGTTCGCTGTGTCTTGGCTCCTATGTTCACGATGGTGAGCTAACAGATCCACCCGCAAGATGACGCGCTCTACCAAATGGGTTGTCATGTTCTGTTTGCCAATTTGCACCCTACCTGACTGTGCACGACGGTCTACAGAATGTATCGTGGAAGGCTCTTGTCCTGTATCTGTCTAGATCGTGTCCGTGTCCCCAAACGCGCTTGTGCGTGGCATGTTGTATAGACTCGGTTTTTACCGGCTTGTGATTCGGCAGGTGCGGTAGACATGTTTTGTGAATGCCAACTAAGCACAACCGAACCTGGTTAATTCACAAGGGGGTGTGCTCAATGGGTTGGCTTCCAGCAGGCCATGGAGACCAAAACAGCACGGAGGAGCAGAGTTGAACGGGACTAGCCCTAGCTTTGGCTAGCCCGAGGAGGCAACGTTGTGGATTCGACGCTACACCGCCCCCAACCTCAATGGGCAGGATTGTGAGACGGCACCGCCTGTGGCCCAAAAATGTCAGGGTAGGTGCATTCTTTGTGGTGCTTTGCTTTTGCTTCGCCACCACCTCCACCACCACGACGGCGACGGCGACGGCGACGACTGCGACTGCGACTTTTGCTACTGCTACTGCTACTGCCTCTGCTACTGCTTTCGCTACTGCTACTACTGCTACAGCTACTATAGTGCTACTACGACTGCAACTGCGACGACGACGACGACTATTACTGCTGCTGCTGCTGCTACTACTACTACTACTACTACCACTTCTACCACTACAAATACCACTACTACGACTATTACTACTACTACTACTACTACGACGACTACCACTACCACTACCACTACTACTACTACTACTACCACCACCACCACCACCACTACTACTACTACTAGTACTACTAGTACTACTAGTACTACTAGTACTACTATTACTACTACTACTCCTGCTCCTGCTCCTGCTGCTGTTGCTGCTGCTGCCGCCGCCGCCACCACCACACTTCAAAAGCAGCTCGTTTATTTTGTTTTTTTGTGCGTCTATGTTTTGGGCTGGGCGAACCAAGCCATTGCCCCAATGCCTCGCCGAACCCTTGCAATGGTGGAGCTACCAACGCAAGAGCCGTCGTAAACCCCGCCTTCCACCAGCAAAAAAATCAGGACAGCAGAGATGCAATTTTTCCGTATCGTGGCCGGGCCCGCACGCCCGCCGACCATGCTGGCATCTATCTACCGTGACCCTGCGTTGGGGCACGTCCGTTGCTGCAGACTGTCCTGTAATCCCCAAAAAAAAGTTTTAAAGCGCACATTACATGTCCTTCATCGGCTGAGCGTTCGATATTTTGCCCTCACCGGTGCTCCTAGAGGCCTAGGTTGGAAAACGTGTTTTGTGTCACGAAAACCGTCACCTAACTTCACCAGGTTTGGCCTGTCACGGCAGCACCGATGTGGAAGTTGTGTGGAGGGTCATCGTTTTGTTGTTGGCCATCTTGGTTGCAGAATGCCGTGCAACCGCGGGCTTGTGTTTTTGGCTGTTTGGCTGATTGACGGGCGGGTGTTGCGATGCAGCTCTTTTGCCAAATGGCAATCATTGTGTAGGCAGGTTGGACACGAACCATGAGCGAAGAAGGGCTTCCATCAACAACACCGGCCAAGAAGAGTGGCGGCTACAATATCCAAGAGACAGTGGCCGTCCGAAACTTAGGAATTGAAAACCCTAGCCTGTTCTCGGAAACACTGTAATGCGATCATTTGGTTGGTTGTATGTGTGAGGTCGTGGTGGACAATGTTTGGCAGTATGTGCACATAGGGGCTGCAGCTTTTCTTTTCTACGAAGACCACCTTTTGTGCCTCTACAGTTTGCTGGGTTTTGTCAGTTTGTGCGGTGACTTGGCCAGAGCAGCTGGAACAACCAATCGTGACATGCAGTCGGAACAACTTTGGATTTGATTTTCTTCATGTTTGATTGGCTGCCCAAGTTTGACCAAGGTGGTGTTGTCGCAGCATCATCTTCAGGAACTATTGTTCCCACTATGGGCGAAGAACTTTGGCGAATCGTCATCCCAGCGTCAGCAATTTTGGCAGTAACGACCTCTTTGTTTGGGCCTCGGCAATTTCCATAATTCCATACCCGTGACATGTGTCGGCAGTCCTTTGCGAGCAGTTCACAACAGCGAAAAACATGTTTTCCCTGGTGCATGCATGGCACCCATTGCGCGATCTTCGGCCCAGGGGTTGCCGCGTCGCCGGTTGGATCTCTGCCACGGCAACCTGCTGCTTTTGCGTTTTGCTGCCTGTGGTCATCGTGGCGTTGACGACGGTGACCCTTAAGAATGACAAGACAGCTCGACTGATCCGAAACTGCATTGGATGAGCTGGAAAAGACAGAAAAAGACAATCAGGGGAACTGGCAAAGGCAAGACACTCACTGTTCAGAACCTTCCAAACAGGAAATGCTTTGAGTTTGGTGAAAGGCCCCAAATCAGGTAACTTTATGAGGTACCCTTCCTCACCCCTGAGGCGCCAGTGAGCCGCCAGTGAGGCCAAAGGAGCCAAAGGCCGCAGCTTTGCGGCAGGTTAGGGGCGAGTAGAGGCGAGCATTGGCAGGGCGGTGGATGGCGGTGGGGCTTGAGGGCCTAAGAACAAGATTCACAAAGTCCAGCTTCGAAAACCCACCATCTCCCAAGTGCTTGGGTGTAGAAAGGCACAGCGCACCGCGCCACAAGAGGCAAAATTTGGCCGCCACGATCAAAAGTGGTCAATATGGTTAAACTTCAAGGATCCTGAAAGTGAAGCGTCGTCTCACCACCTATTGGTGGCGCCTTTGCATGGAGACAGTGTGCCTACCAATGTGCCTATTCTGTGCTCAAGACAAGGGAAGGGTGGGGCGGCGCGAGCACCTGCCAGGCGCCGGAGTCCCATCCACGGTCACTGGTCAGCAAGCGCAAGCGGCCAGGTACAAATATGCTATGGACCTTTGAGCCGGAAAAGATGACTCACGACCCATTTTGCAGCATGTCACGGACCAGACAGGCTCAGATTTGCGACGATTCCAACGTGCCATGGACAGAAGTCTTGTCTTCTTGTTTGCCTTGACGTTGCCCTCGTCCTCCCCAAAAACATCCATTTCAACAATGAACAGGCTGAACAGGTTCCCGATTGAATAAGACGGTCCAGGGTGGCCCATTTTCTGGGGGATTGTCGCAACATTGGTGTTGCTTGTCGAGGCACTTCCAAGGCCTTGATCTCAGTAAAATGGTGAAGTCAGCATTAAAAACTGATGTGATTTTGCAATTTTGCCAAACTGTTTGTGGATCAAGGCCCACGCGCACCGGGCACAGACACAGCGTGCCTTCTTCGAACCCATTTTGGTTGCCAAGTGCTTAGCTGGAAGGTGCATGCGCAGGTCAGACCACTGGGTTTAGGAGCTTGAAGTGTTTCGAAAGAGGGAAGGTGGAAGGGTGATGATGGGATACAAATTGCAACGCAGATGCTGAGGTGCTGCAGTCACAGCAGCCCACGACGAGATCCTGAGGTTCGCTGTGGTTGTTCAACCTAGGAATTGGATATGGAGCCCAGGGCCAAAACCAACAACTTGTGAATGGTTATGCTTGATGAATGAGCCAGTTTCTGGCCCATGGGCACGGCAAGCCTTCTATGTGGAGGCTGTGGCAAGTCATGCAGACTTTTTCCCGCATAAGGCCTGCCAAAGCCCTCGGCCATATCAGTCGAGCAGGCGCGAAACGCCTGCAGCACATTGCTTATGGTATGCCAGGAAGTAGGCCATATTGGGCTCAAGTAGCCAGTAGCATGGGAGAAACGCGGTAGCTTAAGTGGCTACGACACAGGACGCGGCAAAACTCCCCTCTCCTGAGTTTCCTTGAAGACGCCTGTGGTGGTGGTGGTCGTCGTTGTCGTGGTCGTGGTCGTGGTCGTGGTCCTTGTGGATCCCAACAAAGAACTAAGCAGCTAAAGTCAACCTTGAAGAATCTTAAGTAGGTGTACTCTACATATATATATATACACACGCACACACACAGAGATATATATATATATATACACATATCATTCACATATACATATATATAATATGTATACTGAACCGGTTTCGGCGTTGTGGAGGCCAACCGCGCAGAGCTTTGATTTGAGACCGCCGGGGACGGCTGCGAACCACCATGTTTGGTCACCTGAGCCCTGGGCACGAGAGGCCGGAGCCCACGACGATGGAGTTGGGTTGGGTAAGTCAACTGAAGATGCGCCACAAATACGAGAAGATTGGGACATGCAATGGCAGCAATGGCATGGAACTGCCTTAGGGGAGATGTGAAGACCATGCGGCAAGTCTGCAGCTGATGCTCACTTGCAGCAAGCAGCATATCGACAGGCGTCGGTTTCATTGACGAACCCCAGTCTGGCTGCAGGCAGCTGTGCACGGACAGCGAATACATTGAGCATATTCGCAATATTCATGTGATTGGTATACATGTTCAAATCACCGGACCCAATTTGGGAGCATGTGTCAACTAGGAGCTGAGCAGCTGGAGGATTGCAAGTGCTGCACAGCCCAGGAGGCTTGGGATTTGCACGTTGATTCTCCCTCTTGGGCCAGGCCTTGGACCCAAGCTGTTCGGAGAGTAACTTTAGCTGCCTGAGGTTTCAAGGAGAGAAGCACTTCCAACGTTGGATGCTGTTCGCACTCTGACTCTCAAGGGTGACCTGGAAGAGGCCATTGGCTGTGAAATGTGAGCGTTTCAAGGTGGTGCCGCTGTCCTGATGAAATGTTCCAGGTGATCCGAGCGGACGACCGAAGCCTAGAAGGAGCTTTGGCTAAAGTCTTCGGCCTGGCCTTCTCCTGAGTTGGCTGAGTGGAAGGAAGGAAAAGTTGCACTTCCATGCATGGCGAGAAGAGTTTAACAGACTTCTACCATAGTGATGGCAAGGACGGTGTCTCTGCCATTTTTGGCAGCACCTCTGCTGATGGCGCAAAGAAACTCCATTGTAGTGGCTTCAACCATGTTCCGACCTTGGAAAGGGCATGAGCCTTCCCTGAAATATCAACAGCTACATACCCCATTTTTTTCGGTTGTTCCACGAACAGTGTGAAGGCGGCGACCTGGTCTCAGGTCTTCATGATCCAGCTGGGTGGGAAGCTGGCCAAGTGCATTAGGCGAGTTTATGCCGCAGGGGGATTGGCATGATTCCCAGAGCAGGATGGGTTAGCGAATGATCTGTCCCGGAAGCTGTGACCTGGTTTGAGGCCGCATGGCGGTGCTGGGGGGGACTTCAGCGAAGTGCTGGAGGCGGAGAGGCTCCGCTGCCAGTGCCCAAGCCTCTTGCAGGACGGAGGGAACATAGAAAGAGGTGGAACGGGTCGGGTGGAGAGTGGATGGTGGTGGCTGCTTGTGGCGGAAGACGAAGACATGCAGATAAACATAAATAAACAGACACAGAGAAGACTCTGTTTGACACGTGTCTCAACTAGACTGGCAGACAAGCTTGGGAGTGCCCTAGAATAGGTCAACATGTCGGCGGCGGTTTTCGTTGGAGGATCCACAAGTGCTTTTTCCGGAGAAGTCCTTCCTGTGCAAAGACCAGACTCGATATGTTTGCGAGGCACGTGCAATGGACCAATGAATATCTATACCTAAGTTCAAGATAATTTAAGTATATATAAATGTTGCAATCCTCAGATTGTAATTATGCTGGCCAAATCCCAGGTGCTGGTCTTCGAATTCATTCCGAAATGTCAATCCATCGCTGACCTTTGCCGGGACTTTGAGCGCACTCACCCCTGCGGCGGGCGTCCTGGGAGAACGGCTACAGTTTTGCCTCACGTGCCCTTCTTTGCGACAGGTGTGCGGCGCCAGATGTCCTCGTGTGGGCAACATCGTGGATCCGAGGTGGACTGAAAAGGTTGTAATTAGATCCACATTTGAGAGGACCCATCAACTCAAGAATTGCAGTTATTGGCTCTTGATGCTGTTGTTGTTTTGGTCATTGTTCCCTTCTCAAGTCAGTTTGGCTACCATTCGCCACGTGTGCGTCATGTCGCTAGGTTGGTTGTGACCACGCCCAAGCCCTTCGCGACCTCACCCGACAGGCTGCACATCTTGGAAGGCGGGTGGTTTCCCGCTCCGAGAAGGCGCCCGTCGTGACTCCGATGTCCGAGGCACTTTCAAGCAGCGCACGGGCGCAGACACGGAGACTTCAAGGCAAACAATGTGCTGGTGGACGAGCATGGCAGGATGAAGCTAGCTGACTTTCTGAGCCCCTTTTGCACCGCCTGCGTCGAATGCTGAGGTTTTTGCATCCACTTAAGCTGTCCGTGCATGTTCACATGAGTGATTAGAACCTGTTGAGTGTGAAACGACCAAGGATAGACAGGAGTTTCAAACCTCTATTCAGAGCAGCCATCCCATTGCAAAGGAGAATGGCAACTCAATTCGTGTATTGTAAGCTGTGGGAGATGGTAAACTGACAGGGCAGTAAGAATGGCCGTTCGAAACAAAACAGGCTTTTAGCTGTTCTTTTGGAAGCGTTTGTTTTTGACTGTGAGTGCCGTTTGCAGCTTTGCAAATGCTGGACTTCCCCATTGCGAAGGACTTGCAACAGGTCTTCGAAGCAGAATGGCAGGCTTTGTCCAGAATCAGTGGGCTCCGCTGGATGTCTGACTTCTTAGCATGTCTGACTTCTCAAAACTCTGCAGACATGGATGGGATGTGGATGGCTTTTGTGGAGTGATGTTGAAATCGGGTTAGCTCAAGGGTGGCTGCCCATTCCCATCGCCTTTACCCACCCCTCAAAGAGGCTTTGCTATAAATGCAGATGCGGTTGGGAGTGGATCTTTTGCAACATGCAAGGGCCTTACTAGTAGTAACAAGAAGCTACTAGTAAATGCTTACCCCGGAACCTTCGAGGGGGGTTGGGGACAGCCGGGTTGACACTGCTTGTGGTTCAGGGCGGTGGCGAGGCGGCCAGTGAGGCGTCGTGATGGTGTGTACGACGGTGCTATGCTAGACATTGGAAGTGGTCTAGTTGAGGGCACGGGGAATCATGGCTTCAAGAAGAGTTTTCTTGTTGATTGGGGGGCAGGCAACTGGCAGATGAGGGTGCCTGCGTTTTGTTTTGCCAGGCAAGCCTTCGAAAAATCGCTTGGCTGGTGGCAGAGATTCAAAGTCTGACTGAAGCTGCTTGGGCTTTTGTTGCCTGTAGTGCAGCCTGAGTGAATGGCACGAATGCTTGAGATTGGGATGCAGTGGCCCTGTAGATGGACTGGAATGGAGCTTTCAGACTCAAGGACGGCTGGGTGAAGTGGCTTTGGATTGAGAAGCGGGGTTGCAATAACAATTCAACTGTATGAATTGATGGGTTGATGCGGGGTGGATGAGGGATGGTGCGGGGTTCTTCTCATGCAAAAAAAAGGGTGATTCCCGGTGTTCCTTTTAGACCAACGAGAGGTTTCAAAGTTTCATTCTTAGGTTGGTTCCCCCAATTCTCACAACTTTGACTGAACATTTGCCCATAAATGTGGGGAGGGAATGTCGATATAATGCGGGTGACTTGTCTTGGTTGGATTTGCGGATTTGAAGCAGAGTGAGGCCTCAAACCGGCAATCCCTGTTCGGGCTCTCACCTCAGTTTTACAGTTTTTGTATTTGTGCAGCCTTCCTCGTCATGACACATGGTCAATGACATGGATGGATGAGGCCTCTTCCGGACCTCCTACAAAGTATTTCTTCTTGGACACACTCAAAAGCGCAATCAGGTCAGGGAATTGTTGAAATGTTTTGACGCCCAAAGGCCCAAGTACTGAAGCCGACAGTGCCAGGTACTTCCGACTCATTGGATGAAAACAATCCCATATGGTCGCCTGCAGCCACGAAGAACCCAAGTGATCCAAGTCCGAGCCACTTGGACTATAGATCTTCACACTCTCCTCAGCAACCAAAAACGGAATTTGAACTCTAATAAGCCGCAGAAGCAGCTCTAGACTCTAGACTCTAGACCCCAGATGAGCTCTAATGTCTTTTTTCAGGCGTGCCTCAAGGTCTTCATGTTCAATTTGAGGTCATCTCTTTCTTCCCGTCCCTGTCCTTGACGGCATTGCAAAGCACTGCTTGTACCTGAGGAATTCGCTTTGAACGAAGCCCGGCCAAGACACAAGTCCACATGGCCACAGTGGTGGTGGGGCGCTCGGAGCGGGTTGGGCCTTGGAAGGGTTTTGTTGTCGTGTCGGGAGAGTTGAAATAACATGGCCAGGGATGTCGCCGACATCTAGATTCTAGAAGGTATGGCTTTTCCCTACTCAACCAGATTGGGGTCGGTAGCGTGGTTAGAACTCAATCCCAAATCATCAGCAGCAGCAGCAGCAGCAGCAACGGCAACAACAAGATTGCACAACAACACGGACCAGGCCCAACTCACTGAGCATAACCAGAGGAAAAAGCTTGGTTGAGTGGGGATAGCATGAAAGAAAGTACAGTAAGTCATTTTGCAGTTCTGGGGGCTGGTCTAGCGAGAAAAACTCTTTGTTGGTTGCAGGCCGGAGTGCCTCCCTTGCCTTTGGGTCATGAGTCGTCCATCTTCGCTGAGCCCAACCTGCTCGATCATGCCAAGAGTATGATCGCAGCCTCCCAGGAGAGGGATTAAAGAAAGCAGGTTTGGCATGGTTGGGATCAAATTTCAATGGACCTTTGAGGGGTGACATGCAGCTGTTGGTCAGCTTGGATCGGCTCAGTGTCGGTTCTGACCCTAAATGAATAATATGATGCTTACCCGATTCTGACATTGGCTTTGTGCCCAATGGATGCACATGGGGTGCGGGAGGTGTTTGAGCTCGATGCAGGAGAGTGCAGCCACGACTGCGTGGGAGACACCGTCCTGGGCTGGGTGCCAGCTGCTGGCTTGCGGATGTTCCACGGACGACTCTCACTCAGGGTGCCTCCAAGTGTAGCACCGGTAGAGTAGCACAAGTGGATTTGTCAGCCGTCGAACTACCTACACGGAAGTTGAAGACTCAATGGAAGTCGAACATGGCCTCACTTAGCGGAGGAAGCTGATGAAAGTCTGTGAGGCTCACTTTTCCAAAGATGCTCACAGTTGCCAGGAGCTCACCTGCCAAGTGGCCCAGCCCAGGTGGGCACATGTGTTCAGCCGGAAGTATCAGCCAACTGGCCTGCTGCAAGGCTTTGGAGACTCGGGCTCCTACAAACACAGCTGGCAGGCACCAAGGATTCAATTGGGGAGAGAGAGAGCGAGAGAAAGAAAGAAGGAGAGAGAGGTGTCAGGCGTCAGGTTTGAAGGGATTGAGATCTCGCTCAATTATTCGCCTTTGAGGCCAATCGTAGTCCTCAGAGGGTGAGGAGAACTTCAGCATTGGGCGTCAGAATCTTTGTTGGTTCGCTCTTTGTCCTGAGAGTTTTGGGTGCAAGATTCCGAGGCTGCGTCGCCATTTTTCCCCTTCAGAGAGATTGCCATGCACAAAGCTAGCCTGCGAGTGGGCGACTTGCCACAGTGAGCGCAAGAAGCCCCCATGAACTGCCGAATTTGGGCAAAGTTTGTGGCAGGCATTGCTTGGCAATTTTCAGATTTCACCATTGCCCAGCATGCGCAGGGTGGATGTCTTTTCTCGGTCCAAGTGTCTTCCATGTGATTATGTTTGATGTATATAACCGTTGGCATGCTGCTCGGAATACCATTTCTGCGGCGCCCCAGCCCTTTTCACTTCATTCATTTGAAACTTTGCGACTTGTCATGGACTTACGCAGAGGGCGCCGCAAAGAAGTTTGGCTCCCAGAATTGGCTCAGCGGCGCCAACCTGTGCTCCTGAGCTGAATGGAATGGCGTTCACGGCCCGGCCTGTTGGTCTCTTTCCCAATTACTTTGCAGGCGTTCGTGCCAATGTTCCGTTTTATGGAATTCTACGGCAAATGCGAATCACATCCAAGCCTACGTTCGAAATGAACTTATATATATATATTTTTTTTTTTGGCGCGCCTTTTCTGAAGTGCTAGAAGGTGCGGCTAAGCGAAAAAGGAGCGGAGATCTTGTGATCCCTGCAGCTGACACCGCTGCATCATGCGCTCCGGAACCTCGATGCGGCCGTCGATGACCTTGGCTTTGCCATGACATCGAGTGCATGTGAGCTTGCTGCCGCATCGTTGCACTCGATGGGACGGGTGTCCTGGCCACTCTTCTGCGGAGACCGGGCCAACCATACAGGGCTCCTGCAGCCACTTCTCAAAGGTCTCAAGGGCCGATCTGGCCAGAACGTAGCTCTTGCACTGGCAGCAACGAACATAAGCACGGTCAAGGGTGATGAAGTGCTTGCCCGGCTCTGGCGAGGTTTGAGCTTGAATGATGTCTTTGATGATCTCAATGCGCGTTTTGCGCTTGATCGGTTGGCTGACTTGTGCAGGACAATCAGCTGCCAAGGCATCGTGCAACTCCTGCACGGGGCTCTTGGTGTGGAGCCGTTGCTTGCAAAGCTTGCATGCCACTCCAGTGCGGAAAGGAGCCCAGCTGTGACCATTGGTTGAGCCAGGAATTCCTGCACCAGTTCCCGTTTCTGCTGTATGAGAGGAACTTTGCTGGGGCGAAGATCTTCACCTTTGTGAAAGTAGTGGTTCTTGTCACGGAGGAGGACTTCGATCCTCTCAGCTCCAGCCAACAGAATGGCTTCAGCATCCTCATCGATGTTGGCCTGCAGGTCCAGGATGGCCGTGGGCTTGTGACGCTCAGCCGCCCGCTTTGCCACTTTGAGCGTCTCCTTCTGTAGGAGGGCCCGAAGCGGATTGTCTTTGAGCTCCTTCTGAGAAAAGAGAAGGGGCCGGATCATGTCAAAGTCTTCAAACTCAAGGCCTTGAAACAGGTCTGGGTAGTTCTCATAGGCCTTGTATGGTGTCCAATGCTTCCAGACTTGATGATCATAGATGGCCACTTGGACCTTCTCGGAGACATGTAGAGCCAAATGCTTGAGAGCGTAGACCAATCCTCGATGCTTGGTGGCCTTGCCTGGGCAGACCGGTCAGGGAGGAGATCATGGCACGATCAGCCAGCCTGTGAACACAAATGGCAAAGCAGAACTTCCGGTGCCGGGCGTCATTGCACGTGGGTGCCAATGCAATGGAGAAGGCGTGCCCCGGCCCAAAGGAGAGTGTCTCCTGGGTGTGCCAGTGTCCTTTGCCCTCAAAGGAGCCCATTCCAGTTTCGACCTGGTAAAAGATGGATTGTACCACTCCCCTGTTCCAAAGCTCGGGCTCGGTGCCATGTGCCAAACGCTCTTGCCATTGTGTGGGAAGCTCTTTGACTCTACCCTTCCAGTACTGACACTCCCAAATCAGGTGGACGAAGGTCAAGTCCTTGTCGCACAGCGGACATTTGCCTTGCTGACCATGCTGGTGGAAGGTCCGGAGTGCAGTGGCTGTCTTGTCACTTGTGGTTTTCTGCAGCTTCCAACTTACTGTCCAGTCCAATTGCTTTTCGAGGTCGTGGCAGCCCTCGTACCTGGTCAACCGCAACAGGCGCTGCCAGCGGAATTCTTCATTCAGCTTCTGGAGCAAAACTGGCCAGCAATCTTCTAGGGATAGATGACAGTCAGGTATGCCACCGTAGCCGGTGCGAGTCCACTGCTTGCCGTTGGAGATGTCAAAGTCGTAATCCAGCAGGTACGCTTGAAGAGCTTGCAGTGGTCCGGACACCACCTGCCAACGATATTTGACCTTGAGGAGGGCTCCAAGGGCAGTGTTCCAGCTGGTCCAAAAAGAGATGCTGTGTCCCTTCAGGGAAGGCATGATACAACTTCCAGACCGTGTGGATGTGCTGGCATATGATGGAGTCAGCTGGGTCCGGCAGCTTGGGATGAAGCTCAAAGACCACATCGACAGATCCACTTCGCTGTAGTCGGAGACCTCTTGCGGCCAATACCCGAAGCTTTTGCCGTCTTTGTGGAGGCAATCCGTTGGCTTGTGCTCCCCACGTCATCACTGGGTGGATGGCACCTCGGTGCAATCTGTATTTGGTGGTCGGCGCCAAGCGCAAACGATGCATTATCCCAGTTCTGCTGCTGCCCTTGGCGAACCTCTTCTTGACCTGCATGACCCTTCGCCGTCTCGTGCCGGTGGCATCAACTCCAAGGTCACGTAGGACATCATAGTGCTCAGGATCATCCGGTGTCAACAACTGCTGGAGTTCCTTGCTGACTTCCTTGGTACTGGTGATGAACCCAGTTTTGTCGGTGTTGATGCGGAGGCTGTGCAGCTTCAAGTTCAGCTCAAAGAGTGCGGAAGGCCAAAAGTGCTTCCCGTGCCACATATGCCGGATCCCTGCCCTGGATGTCATAGGAGACGTCATCAACCCAGGTCTGTAGCGAGACAGCTGGATGCGTTTGAACCAGTTGCTTGAGCGGTCTGTAGAGGATGAGCTTGGAGATGGCTGGCGCTTGTGGGCATCCCTGCAAGATTCCTCTCTGATAGTGTTTGGGATCGCCACTGACTCCTTCAGCTTGAATCATCCTGGGACCAGCATAGAGGTCCAATGCAAATTTGAGGCGCAGAACCCTGGCTCAATGATGTGGTCCAAGTTGACCGTGTCGTAGAAGCAGGAGAGATCAGCCAGGCAAGAGACGGTGTGTATTCCTTGGTGCTTGGAGATCTCTGCTTTGAGCATGCGTCCAATGGCAATGGACAAGCAATCCTGTTGTGGCCTAGCTTTGTCCCAAGGAAGCTCTTCGTCCAGAGTGAGTTGCCACTCGTGTAGGTCTTGCTTCCGGTAGCGATTCCAGACCCGGTACAGGCAAGAAGTCAAAGCAATGGGCCTTTCCACCTTGGTGTTCTTTGGGATCATGACAATGTTAGTGAGCGTCAACTGAGTCGGTAGGGTGGCTGTGGACTCCATCTCGGTGAGAAGCTGCGCCAGCTTGTTGACCGCCGGATAGGGCAAATGCCTGGGGAAATCGTAGAAAATGCCATCTGGCCCTGCTGCTTTGTTAGGCAGTTTGCGGAGAACCTTTTGGAGGACACTGGAGTCGATGGGCGGCATACCCATCGCATGGTGGACAGCTGCTGCCTTGAGAGCTTGATATCCTCTGATGTGGCACGGTCCCTCAGAAAGCCACCAGATTTCTCCCCACGGCTCTTCCCGAGCTCTGAGGCGGTCAAGCGCTGGAAGATCTTGAAATGGTCGTTGCCAAGGAATGTCCCGCTGCCTCAGGTTCCTGAAGAGGCCTCGAAGGCCTTGAGCGTGAGCCTTCTCAAGCCAAGCTTTGAACTCGACATTGCCAGAACTGAGGAGAGCTTGATGTGCCTGAAGTTCTTGATTGTGGATGTAGCCTTTGATTTCCGTGGGATCATTGTGAGGTTCTTTGATCCAAGTCCTGAGGATGGTAGCAAAAAGATCTTGCTCCATGTCCTCGGTGGCATTGGCCGACAAGGTGTTCAGCATGCTTTCCAAGTCTGAGGCGACTTTCTTGTGTGAGGTTTGATGGAGGATGTTGACCCTGACAGCCATCCTTTCCCAGTAGGCCAGCTGCCCTTTCTTCGAAACTTGCGGCCAAATTTGATCGACCAAGGGAGCTTTCCTCAGCTGAATGAGGTGACCTCGCCCTGTGGTGGGCTTGTGCAGATTCTGCGTGAGGTACTGCTCGGTTTGACTGGCCCATCGAGCCAGATCAGAGCCAAGTCCAGTGATCTGAATGGCAGGAATGGAGAAAGGTCCATCAACTTCATGAAAGATGCTCCAACATTGTGGCAATGCAAAGACCTTGCCAATGGGTGGAAACCTCTGTAGTTGCTGGACCTCGACATCAGGAGTGTCGCAGGAAAGAGTGACCGCCAAGCCGCAGTGAAGTTTCCACGGCACCTCCCAGTCCGGCTGGAGATGAATGGAGCTGACCAGAACGTTGGAAACCAGCAGGTAATCCAGTGACCTGGCATTGAAACTTGCTCATGATGACTGTTGCAGCCAGGGCATCCGGGGAGTTCTGCCAATCACCTCCAATGATGAAGGGCGCATGAGCGTGATCCAGAAGGTTCAAAAGTTGCGCCAGGATGTCCGCATTTCTTGGGGACTGCAAAGTTTCCCCTGTTCGGAGGTAGACCTGGATGAGGAGAATGAGCTTGTCCGCTCTCTGAAGCCCAATGGCAGTCCACCCATTGCCCTCCTGAGTGTAGGTCTGGATGTGATGCGTCAAATGCTTCTGACCGTGCAAGGTGATGAAACCTCCGGAGGTGCCTCCATTGCCAGTAGGGTGAGCAGCAACCCCATAGGCTCGCCAGCCTCGGGTGTTGAAGTATTGGAGGGCAGTCTCCATGGTCTTGGTGCCCATGTGCGTTTCTTGCAGGAACACGAGGTGGTTGGGCTTGGTCCAAATCCAATCCTGTACCTTATGCCCAAATTGAGTGACGTTGCCAGAGAAGAGGTTCAGAGTCTCATAGTGACCTCTTGATTTCTTCAGGACCGGTTGCCAGGCTTCAAGAGTATCCGGATCCAGTTCATCCGCGGCCTCTAGAACCAGCCAAACCTGGACGATCTGGCGTTGATGCTCTTCAGGCAGAGGAGTCAGGTACTGGTCATCATCAGCATACCAGTACGCATTGTCCAAACAATGGATGGCCACATAATGTCCAGCTTCATGTCCCTGTCCTTTATGGAGAATGAGGCTGATGACCTTGTAGGAGGCCTTATGGACATGAATGCCATCCTCAGAGAAGGGAATACGAA